CTGCCTGAGCTGGGCGCGCGGGCCCGGCCCGCCCTGCGCAGCCGCCTCCCGGGGTCGCGCGGGTGGCTGGTGGTGCCGGTCCCGCTCCGCACGGCCGTAGCCTTTGGGTCTCTCGTTTGGACCTGGATGCTGGGCTCGTTCTCCAGCGCTGGGGGAGGGAGGACACCCGCCACCCTCAGGGTGCTGGAGCTGTGGAAGAGGCCTTGCCTTTCTTGTCTTGTGCTGTTGGAGCAGCTTGTGAGCTCCCAGAGGTGTGCCCTCCTGAAAAGTGTTGTTCCTGTGTACCCGTGGAGCCTGCTCGGCCGCAGCTACTGGCAGTGCTGGGTCTTCTGTCTGTCCGGTTTCACAAACCACAGGTCTTGCTGGGTGGTCTCTCCTCAGCTTTTTCCCAAGGCTTTTTTTTCATGCTTGCAGGAATTAAACTAGTATTTTTGATAACATGCAGGAACTCTGTTTGGAAGAGCTTTCTTCCCACAAAGAAAATATTTTGGTCTGGGAGCCATTGAACTTCTGCTTAAAACACTAGATATTTTGCAGGCTTTTATTAATACAAGTCAGAGCCCCCAATGTATATTAGGAAGTAGGCAAAGAGTTCTTGTTATCTGGTGCAGTAGAYAGCTATATCTGTCATATGTATTGGTAGTTCTTGTATCTGATTTATTCAGCTGTCCTCATCTTGAAATGAGAAGGGTCAGTATGTTCATCTTTAAAATGTCATTAGAAAGAGACTTTATATATACAACAATGCTACTGCCTGTTTATCTGTATGGGAAACCTTTGCTTACTATATTCTCTGTTAATGCATTTGTTTTGTGGTCGCCTGACTGCTGTTTTTTATGCTGTGGTACAGCACGTCTCACACTACTGCCCGTTCCTGAACCAATGATCCCTGTCGGTGTTGTGACTGYGAGTGGGCTCCCTGAGACTCGTTTGTGTTCTCAACCCTAGAATGAAAAACATGCAGAAAAAGAAGTGCTCTCCATCCCTACCCCGATCCCCAAGTTACTTAAGGCAATGACATGGAGTTGTAAAATCCCCAAGACTAATTAAACTTTTGAGTGGTTTGCAACATACATACCACCATATTTCTGTATTCAATACTCCCAATTTAATGAGGCAGTTTGTAGCCTACAGTTGAGGCATGATTTCAAGAACTGAATTGCTTCAGATGCAAACGAAAAAGCTTTCTTGGACATGGAAGAGTCTGGTTGTATGTGAATGTTTAATAGAGAAGACCCCACCGTTACATACGCATGTTGTTTGTGTAGACAGCTAAATTCTGATATTTTCTAACTTAGAGCACTTAATAATATTTTAATACTTTTGGCATGTTGTAAGGTGTATCCAACTGTATTAACTGTTGGATAAAATACTGTGAGATTTTTGAGTTTTTTTTTTTTTTTTTACTTCTGATATATTAAAGAAGATAGCACTTTTTTTTAATGGTTGCCCTTTCCCCTCCCAGTTTTGCAGAATCCTTCTTTTTTAGAGGAGATGGGTGAGAGGAACTGATATAGTGTGATTTAGAAATAAAAATTCATGGATTTCATAATTAATCTGAGATAGAAGAAATTACAGTTATGGAAACCTGTTCTGCTAACTAGCTGAAAGTTTCATGAAGTATCACATGTCTAAATAACCAAGTCAGAATCACAAGAACTGCTTTTATTAACTCTTAATAATAGTATTAAATTTAGTATGTTTTCATATCAGTGCCAGTTGAAATCAAGCTTATTTGCTATAGCTAATGCTGAGAACCCTAGAACAGGCAGAATGCTTTCTATCTAAGAAGCAAAGGGTAGGAAAAGAAGTTAGGCGTTCTTAGGTTTTCCCTTGGTTTTGAAAGGGAATGGAGTAATCTTGTCTATGCTTTTCTGATTGAGTCAAAGAAATTGAAAATTTTCACAATGAAATACCTATGGTGTGATGGAAAAAAAAATCACGTGGAAGCATTTAAATGAGAAAGTTCAGCTGGGAGAGATTTGAATACAAACAGTTTAGACGGCCTAAATAAGCTTAACTGAAGTACTTTGCATTCTTCTAGAGGAAAATACTAGAGGAGATTYGGGTGATCCATGAAAAATATACTTTATATCTTTGTACGTGGTTGTGGTGTGAATTATTTTTTTTATAATTGCTTTGCAGCATTGGATCTGGTTTGTTTGCTGCTGTTTTGTGTTAAGGGTGTTACCCCTATTTTCACTACTTATGTTTTTGGTTAAATTCTTAGAGTGAGACCACAAGAAATGCCAGAGAGACGGAAATGTGTTTGTGAACGAGTTGTCCCTTTAAAAATCAGTAGCAAAGTTGGTTACATTTCTCATGACTGTAGGGCTTAATTGCTGCTTGTTTTGTACAGTGACACAAGTGGTGTCCTGGTTGCTTGGCTTTTTCTGCCTATGATGGATTTTGAATGTGGGATTTTACAGCCAGTTTGAGGTGCAATTCTTTTCCAAAAAACGTAATGTGTACCTTTATTTTGTTACGAGAATTTGTGCACATGATCATGCTATAGCTAATCCTAAAAAGAATCTGAAGTTTCTCTGTAGATGACTAGTTGGTGGATGTTTMAAGGCTGGATTACGGCTGTAGCAACAGTACAAAAAAGAAACTGCAGACTGTAACCTCTCAGTGGGGAACAGAGGTCCTGATGGCCTTCAGGTTGTGTTTTATAGTGGGAAAGTGTTAGAAGTGAGAGCTCAGGGGAAGCTCCTACCTGTGCTTCTATTTAATGATGACGTTCCCCAATCTCATTCTTGGGCCCACAGTTTTTCTGGATTTTAGTGATGATCAGACTGTATGTTCCTGGCTCCCTGTATCTCAGGTCAGTAAGTTAAATGCTATTGTGGGTGTCTGAGTTAGGAAACTTCTCCATTAACTTAAATTCTTACTCTGCAGAGATTATTAGCTGTTAAAACAGATCTCTCCAAAGAAAAACAAAAGATACTAGTTTAAGCAGTAACATCTTTTGCCTTTTTGTTTGCAAAAACAAATTTGTAAGACATGTTAAATCTTGTTTAATTGAGATAATTTTTGTATGTGAAAGTTCGACTTATTCTTTCTAAAGAATAGACTGGCCTAGTAGATGGGTCGATTTTCCATTTGAACTGTAACGTGAGGTCCCCCCAAGCCTCTGCTGTGCGGGTTTGTGCGTTTGCTGCTGTCCCCTCACGCTAGTTAGGGAAATGAACTGCTCTTGTCATCTCAAGGCCTGCGGATGGAGGGGATGCCACGAAATGCTCTAGGTTAAAACATAGTTAAACTTACTGTTTTGTAATCTAAATGTGGAAAACAAATCTCAGTTGTTAGGTTCTTACAGGCTCATAAAACACTTATGAAAGTTAACTGTTACTTTTGTGAGCCATAGAATATTGATGCAGAGCATGTTATGCTAGTGCTTTGGTGAAATTGTACGTTGATGTTGAGTTAATTGTAATAAAATAAGTTGATGAAGCATAGCATCTGGAAGGGAAAAATTGAAAGCGTCACATGGAGGTAGAGACAGCAGTGCCCTGTTGCTTGTTTGTTTTGTCATGGCATCGATCCAGCGTTTGCCTCGGGAGCACTGGGCAGAACAGAAGCCTCTACGTGCAGCTAATGAGGTGGAGGACGGACAGCGGGGCAAGCTCTGGTCGAAGCTTCGCCGCCTTCCTCGCTTCCTTCCTCCCTCCGTCCCCGAGCGAGGCCTGCGCTTCCAGGGAGCGTTTCTCAGCAGCACAAATTAGGGTTAAGTCTTAAACCCTCATGTCTCTGCATGCGGTGCAGCGTGCACATAAAGAAATTCTCAACCCTTCAAGTACATTAAGAAGCTTGTAAACAGTGAATTAAGAGATACTATTTATACTGAAAGTCAGGGACTCAGGAATGAGGAAGTTCTCGTTCTGTGGCTACTTGTGCCATTTTTGGCTGTTTGGCTTTGCCTGTTTATGTGTATGTGATTGTAGGGTCTAATAAATCATACTTTTTTTTTCCTTCCACAAGACTACTTCATTCAATATGTGTGATATGCAACTAAAAGACATAATTCAATGAAATGGAAGGCTGAAACTTCTCCCTTTGCCATTTTTGGACGCATTACATTTCAATTTAACTAGCAGATTTTTTTTACCTTTTTTGAGTGCACGCCGTCTCACATTTATACTGCAGCCTGAACTTGTTCCATGTTATAAATTCAAATAAATTTGCATAAATTTGAATGCTTACAAAAAAAGTCTGGAGGAAACTGAGTCATTCACATATAGTCAATAAATTCTATGGTATGATAGAACAGTCTTAACAAATAATGGAAATAAATGAGATTCAGTTTGAAATGCTGTTATATCTAAGATTGAATTTCTCATTGTTGCCAGAAGAAATAACTTTTTGAAAAAGACCAGTGGAAATTAATCTGTAGTCAATTTCAAAGGGCGCACAGATTTTCCAAGCTGAGCAGTGGTGGTTAATATTTTAAGTGTTAACTTTTGTCTTTTCTGAGAAATGTTCAAAATCCAAACATTAACACTTATGTTGTTTTCAAGAGACCTAATTCTGTGGCTACAAAGCGTGGGAGTTGTAAAATTGATCAGCTCTTGATTTGAGAGGTTGTGTAACGAGGTTTTCCTACTGTTGTGGTTAATGTGTTTTACAGTTGAGAAGTTCTTCGGTGCTCCTTGTGCATAACTTGAGACTTGTGATACGCTGTGATCTCAAGGAGAATGTGAGGATCGCCCGTACAAGGAAAGCTTTCAGAGCTTTGATTTGTATTTTTAATACTTTTACGAAAAAAAAAGACTGGCAAAGATAAAATATCAGTGCGATTATTTCCCTTCCTTCCCCCTTCTCTCTTTGTTTTATTTTGCTCCTCTTAACGATAGATCAACAGTTTTAAAGAGCAGTTTATGTTAGAAAATATGACCCCTGTATTTCAAAAGACAAAACTTGTTGCTTCCTGTCAGCTTTGATGGAAACTTTTTGACAAAGTAAAATGAACTTCTCTTTTATGTCATGAACTCATGAAACATAGAAGAATGTCTTATGTTCTTATTTTTAAAGACACCTCCCCCTGCCAAAAAAAAAAAAAAAAAAGGTAATGGACGCACTTTACAGGAAACTGAAAATCACAAACTATGTAGGAATATTTGTGAATTTCAGTGGAATTGATAGACTTATTTGGTATTTGTTACCTGCTGCTATCACACTGTGGTTCTGAGTATATCATGTATGTTTAGAATAAATGCGTATTGTAGAATTACTTTAGCCTCGTTAAGAATTCGACTGACTTGGATTTATGGTGCAAGAAGGGAAAGTTAGCTACAAATGTCTAAGGATTGTTAGCATGTATATAATGCAAATATATGTTGCTATATGCTAACTATATGCTACTTCAACAGCCACACGTTGCCTAAATCTGTCTCTAGTAAAGTAAAGAGTGCTACTCTAGTAATTTTTGTGCGTTATTCACGTGTTCCTGTGAGGGCTGCATGCTTTAAGCAGAAGAGACACCTCTACCATAATTACATAAATTAAAAATTACTTGTTTCTCAAAAGTAAACATAGGTTATCTTTTTGCAAGCTTCTTTGAAAGGAAAGTTCTAGCTGGCTGGTAGAGCCCAGTGAAATTAAAAATATTTGCTGTCTGTCTTGACTCTTGTTGTTGTTGTTGCAGGTATTAAATATGCTGTTGTCAATAGGAATGCTGATGTTGTCTGCCACTCAGATATACACTATTTTGACTGTTCAGTTATTTGCTTTCCTGAATCTTTTACCTGTGGAGGCAGATATTTTAGCGGTAAGTATAAGTATGTTCTTTACACATGGATGAAATCTTCTGTAATGGTGAATCTTATTTCAGACTTTTAAAATAATGAATTAGATGATGCAGTAAATGTTATAACAGTTTGGAGTAGAGTTGCCTGAACACAGGAATTTAGTACAAAAATAAAACATACATTTTAAAAGAGCTTACAGATGATGCATGCTCGGATACTGTGATAATGAAAGTGCTTAATTCCATTACAGTCACTTATGGAGTTCAAGTATGAAGAGACATCTATAGCTTGTCACAACCCTGTTACAAGAATGGTGTATTTAGTTGCTTTAGGCAGCAATTTAAGTTTGTGGTGATGCCATTTTGTAGGATAGCTTTATCCAAATGAAATAAAATAGTCTCCTGTGACTAGTATAAGCTAGTTGTGGATCAGAGGCCTTGTTAGCAAAGTCTTGTACATGTTAGACCTAGATTCAAATAAATAAAACAAAAACGTGCAGTCTCTGCTACTGATGATGATTATGTTTTCCAGATGGGTGGATTTTTAGATTAACTTTGTATAATATGTAATGTTCATAAATAATGTAATGGACAGAGGGTCAGGGTAAAAGATGTATGTTAAATATTGTTAATTTTATATACCTTGTAGTTTTATGGCGGCAGTTGTATCTGTCACTGCAGAATAGACTTACAGCTACTAAAAATAATTAAATGTAAAAAGTGTAATAATATATTCTCTGCTATTCACAGTGATATCCAGGAAAGCTGTTAACCCTATAAATTTAGGAGTGAGAGAGAGAATCCTTGAAGTAAATAATTCAAATAAAAATACATAAAATTGGTCACAGTGTGGGATAATGAGTACTGAATTATGTTATTTGGATCATAAGTCTGTTATTGGTTATCATCTTTGATAAAAAAGTTTAAGAAACAATTCAGATTGTTTTATTATTGTCTACTGTTGTCATCATTTTACAATGAAACTTTGTACAACTTTATATTGTAAAACTGATTTTTCCCCCCTTTTCTCCCACAAAGCCCATGCTTCCTCTTTTCGTAAGAAAACTGATTTCCTTCCTTTCTTACTTTTAGGGAAGATACTTTAAAAATAAACATTCTTAACTACAAAAAAAAAGTAATTCTGAAATTTTAGTTTTATCTCTTTAAACCTTTGGATTTAAGCACCTTACAGGTTTGGAAGTCTCTGTGTGTTAATGAAATACAGGCAAAATTTTACATTTTCTCTTAGAAAGTAAATTCTTTTTTTCCTTACTGATTTAGGTATATGTTTAAGCTTCTTTCTTCTCATACAACTGCAGCCTCAAATCAAGGGTTTCTGTTTGTATAAAGTTCAGATTTATGTGTATTAAGCACATTTGGTTATTTTTTAAATAGTGAGTAAAAATACATGTTTGTGACTGCTCCCCAGCAGGGGCCAGGTGGATGGCTCGGGGAAAGCAACATGACAAATAGAAGAACAATGTTTCCCAAATAGTAGATGAGGGAGGGGAGGATCTAGGAAGGCAGTTTGCTGGCAYAGAGCTGGGCTGTGTGCTCTTGAATAGCAGGTAAAGAGGAAAGGTTGTGTGAAGCAGATGCGTTACACAATCTGTAACGTTCTGTTGAAGTTTGCTCCATTCTTCCCTTTTCCTACCAATTTTATAAAAAGCCTGCCAGAAGGGGGCTCCTCTGAAATGTGACTCCTTTCAGAAGCGTAGGATTACTCATAAAAGGGTTAGTCTTTGACTTRGAGTTTGAGTTCCCATGTGTAAGTCTGATTATTAGGAGAGGCATTAGCACTTTGAATTATAAACATAGTATTTTAATTATTGTGTTTGGYAGTAGAATTATACAATAAAGAAGTATTCAAGTCATTAAACTATCTAATATTAACCAGCAACTGCCAATAATGTGAATTCAAATTACTATCTAATTATTATCTAATTGGCTTTTGTAGGAACTTTTGCAGGAAGCAACTTTCTTACATAAAATGAAAATAAGTTTTATCTTGTGTCCTCTTTTTATTGTATGAATTCTCCACTGGATAGCCATCTCATAGACCTGTTAAAGATCACACAAGGAAAGAGGAAACGAAGTTTCCACAATCTGAAATTCTTTATAGTATTCCTGCATGTTTAAATGGAAGCTCATAGTTAGCATAAACGAAAACTGTAAAGCTGGTTACTAACCTGAGTTAGCTATCCTGAATAGATAATGAGTAACTAGGGGAAGATAACATGGAGGCTGTTCTTTGCTAACAACAAACAACTTTTTAAAGCTTCTTTTCAGTGTATATAAGTTAAAGCAAAAATATGTTTTTTTTTTTTTTTGCTTAAATATTTTCAGAGGAGTTTGCCGCTTTTCTTCTGTAAATGTGATAATACTTGAAAAGCAAGTAGTAGAAGGAAAGACTTAGCATAAAGGTTATTACTCGATAAATAACTTTTTTTAGACTGCTAGGTAGCATAAGAATTGTCTTTCCATATGAATGGAAGACCAGTAGAAGCAGCAATTTATTTTATTAGCATTGCAGGAGCTATTACATTTGATAAATACTCTAACCTAAAAAATCTATTCTATTTGTTTTTAGAATTATGTATTTCTCTCTTGCAAGCCTAAACTTTTTTTATGATTTATTTCTCTCAGTATAACTTTGAAAATGGAACCCAGACCTTTGATGATCTACCTGCTAGGTTTGGTTACAGGCTGCCAACAGAAGGCTTGAAGGTAAAAACAAACAAAAATATCCAAACAACCCTGAAAAAAAAAATGTGTATATAAGCAAGGGAAGAAGTTTGGGGATTTTTTTCTGAGTGAGTCTTATATTTTGTAAATGGCTACATGGAGTCAGCCTAGAGGGCAGAAAGCTGTTTCACTGTTGTTTTAAACAATTTATGGGTAACTATTCATGACCGAGATGTACATCTCTTGTCTCTTTGTAATTTTTAGACAGCACTCAGCCAAAGTGATGTCCCCCATGTAGAGATAATGAATTTGAGTCACAGAAGTGATATTGAAATTCTCTTTCTTTGCCAACATTAAGGTTTTACTTTTTGCAAAATAGATGGAAGATCCGGGTAGTCTTCACTGGTTGAAGTGATAAGGCTGATACAGGATGCACATATAGAAACAGAGTGTCTAAATGGTTATTCTCCAGCTTATTCTGGAAAGCTGCTGTTCAGGTGATCTAGAAATTTGAACAATGAAATAAAAATATTCCAGAAGAAAAAGGAAGGTCATTTTCTCTTCATGACTGCAATGATTTGTACTATGTAGTATATGTGATATTCTTTCAGCATGTAACTGTAAAAAAATTACCTGATCTGTATACTTTACAGAGTGTTTACTCTGTAAGCAGAGTAATAGTGAAGAAAGCTCAAAAGAGTATCCAGCATGAAAATATCAGCATGGAGAGGGACTAGTGTTGAGGCATTCAGTGTTCAGAGGTGCCTTTTTCTTCATAGAGAAGTTTCAGAATTCTTCTGCAGATGCTAAAGCAGCAGTTTAGGACAGTTTTTGTTCAAGACTTGTTTTATTGTGAAGTACTCAGCTAAAAGTAATTCAGAAGTTGCTTGAAGATTGATATTCAAAGAATTTTTCTTTGACTCTGAAACTGTAGCACATGCTAGGATTTGTAGTCTTTGCATATTGTATCAAATCAGCTATTTTTGTGGTAGTTTACTATTCATAGTCAATTTCACACACATAAATCTTTCTTCTGTTTTCCTTTTCTTCTGTTTTCTGTTTAAATTGCCAAGTATTAAGTTTGTATTTCTTGGTCCAATATAATCCTTTATTCTGTGCATATTTTAGGAAAGTCAGTTAAACAATATTATTGCACTGTATCTTGAACTCTATGCTAGACTGTCCTGGAAAGTGAGTGATGAACTTCATGTGTTACAGGAAAGAGTATTACAATATTTCTATTTCTTTACAAAAAAATCCAATAAATATAAATAGGGATGTAACRAATTTTGTGGTGACACAGGTTAGGTTGATTAGAATTTGTTTGACTGGAGTATGAAAATGCACAGATTTCTTTCTTTATACTTGTCTGACAACACTTTATTTTGTTGAGGAGAGAAGCAATAAACCTGGTTATATTCTGTTACTCTTTCAGGGATTTCTAGTAAATTCAAAGCCAGAGAATGCATGTGAGCCCATAGCCCCACCTCCACTGAAAGACAACTCCTCTGGTGCTTTTATTGTGTTAATTCGAAGGCTTGAATGCAACTTTGATGTAAAGGTAAGTTTGATTGTTTTAATTGAAGATTGCAGAAAATATCTTTAGTTTATGTCAGAGTAAACTCTGAAGAGGAGAAATTGTCTGCAGGGAGATAAAGTGGCATTATTTGTAACATGATTTAGTTCCAGGTTGTATGAGTTACTTGTTTGAGTCAGTATGCATGGCAAATAAGGATGACTGATGCTGTAGTTCTATCATAGAAAGTATTTAGTAGCAATAACTGCCTTTCTTACTGTGACACATCCTCTTGCCATTGCTTGTACTGTTATAGCCAGGGATCATAGCAGAGATTGGGAAATGTGTATGACTGAAAAGTACCCCAAATCTGTAAGGGGTGTGTGTGTGTGTGTCATCTGTCTGTAGTGGCTCAGAGTGGGTCTGCATGAACAGTACAATGTAATGGTTGATGGTGAGAGGACACGGCGGTCTGCTCAGCGTTAAAGGTCTGGTTGTGGCCAACTGTGGAAGACACTCCTCTGTAGCATACAGGGGCCGTCACATATTTTCTGCTGCATAAAACAGTCATCCAGCTAAATAAACATAAGGTAAAGTTGTGCTACATATTGAAATATATTTTAGATTTCTTAGGTTTTTAGGTTATATATAGTTTAGGTAAAGATATGTTAAAATTCTGCCCCTTTGGGCAACAGGAGCCACACTATTGTACATGCATTGTTCTAGATGTAATGTGTATTTTCTCTAGCAACATAATACTGGGCAGGCTCCAAGCCATGCCTCTGTATTTACCTCTAACACTGATCTTGAAAACACCGAGAAGCCCCAAGGTGTCTGTGCATTGMAGTAAGATTGACTGCATGGCATGAGACATACAGTGAGGGAATCTGAATTGCTGCTGATCTGAGGGACGTAATTGTTGAATGAGGAGCTGGGTGTCATGTTCTTGTAATGGCAAGGCGCTGCTTAGTAAGAAAGCAGTTCCTGAAGCTGCCACACCCGTTCTAGGTAAGTGTTTAAAAATGGACTGACGGATGTATGTTGAAGATGGATTCATACTTCAGGTTTAGCACATGATTAATGTTTCTATATTTGGAGCCCTGGGTAGCTAGATAAGTTAAAACTTCACARTCTGACCGAATGTGCTGCCTTAAGCAGCATAACTGCTTTTGCAGCTGAATGGTGCCTTTAAATCTGTGCTYGTGGTGATGTTTGCAGATGATGTTTGTCTGTGGTCATGATTTCTAAGCATAGTGCTTCTGACAATGAGCCTGTTTTACAACTGTAATATGAACCCTGTTTAAAACGTTTTATCTGCACAACATTTAATCAAAAGAAATAGTATTTGGAAACACTGCAGTGTTATACATGTTTCTTATTTCAGTGCAGTGACAGAGGATACAGTGCTTAGTGAAAAAGCAGTAGTAAAAGATTTTTTTTCCCTGTTCAACACAAGGACAATATAAGAACAATACATCCAATTACAGCTTATAGAAAAATAGCCATATGTTTCTAACTGCAGGAGTTTTTATATTGTTTGGGCTCACAGTGCTCATCTTTCTTGAGGAATGTTATTATTTTCCTATTTGAATAAAAACCCTGCTTATAAAACTGGAATCTTAAAATCTGCTATTTAAATAGAAATTAAAATCACGGCTGGAGCGCTGTGTCCAGGGCTGGGCTCCCAGTGCAAGAGACACACGGATGGGCAGCAGCAAATCCAGCGCAGGGCCCCCAAGGTGCTGCAGGGATTGGAGCATCTCTCATGCGGGGAGAGGCTGCGAGGGCTGGGGCTGCCCAGCCTGGGGAGGAGAAGGCGCAGGGGGATCCTCCCAGTGTCTATGGACACCAGGTGCAGGGTGTGAAGACAACAGAGAAGGCTGTTCTGAGTGGTGCCCAGTGGCAGGGTGAGAGGCAATGGGTACAAACTGTAACCGGGAAATTCTGTTTGCGTGTAAGAACTTTTTTTTTTTTTTTTCTGCAAGGATGTTGGAATATTGGAACAGGTTGTCCAGAGGTTGTGGAGTCTCTGTCCGTGGAGATACTCCCAACCTGACTGGACAGAGCCCTGAGGAGCATGGTCTAGGTGCCCCTGTTTAAGCTGGGGGCTTGGATAGATGATCTTCAGGAGTGCTTTCCAGCCCCAACTGTGCTGTCATTATAGAAGTCTTGAAAGGTTATATAAGTCTAGAAACACTACATGGAGCTTAGGTTGATCTAGAAAACCTGATACTGCGGATTTTACCTGGGCACCCTGTCATTCTGCACTTGCATATGGGGAAGGGACGTTTTGCTGAAGGTAAGAAGTGGAGACCATTTTTTCTTCTTTTCATGTATTGCCAAATCTTACGTGTGTATTGCATCAAAGTAGCATCCTGCGCACTTTTTTATAATAGTTGTAGCAGACTGAGAAAAATACAGAATGATTGAATGAGCAAGTATTAGCGTTCCAATCCCGTATCCCTGTGTTTCTGAACGGGGCAAAATCAGGAGCTTTTCCATGCGGCTTTGCGTGCTGCTCCTGCTGGTGGCATCACCGTGTTTGAGGTAGCATCCATTGTTGCTGTTGAGCATGAGTGATACAATCTGACAAAGTTATTGTTGCTGTTATCTTATTTTTCTATAAAAGTACTAGTTATCTGTATGCTTAAAACACTATTTGAAAAAAATCTACAAAATATTTGTAGCTCAAGCTACTGTAAAAATATTGGAGGGCATTGTTTCTTGGGTGTAAAACAGCAAATTTAAATACATATTTTCTTGACCTAATTTAAAAATGTCTCTGATATAAAAATAATTGTGTATCCCTTTGAATATTTGAGGTATAACAGAAATTACTAACCTTTAAAGAAAGGGACTTAACATTTCATCTGCCAATCTAATGTTTTTGAGTTCAGGGAGTAGCATGTCTTGTATTTGGGTAGGAAACCGATGAGATCACCTTCGTCCTCAAATATTGAGAACTTGGAATGCTGAGATTTTATAGCAACAAGCAAACAACTTTATGAATAAAACATACCTTTGACAGTATTATAGGAAGTTGGATTAAAAATAATAATAATATTTACCAGTCTCTATCAACAAGTATGATTTTTTTCCACAATTAAGTGTTTGTGTTTATCCCTGGAATATTTTGAGGTACAGATTTTGTAACTAATAATGAAATGTGGCCAGATAAGGGCAAGAATGTTAGTGTTATGGAAGAAATTAAAATGGATAAAATGCTGCAGTGTTAACTGGATTGTATTTTACAAATTGGTTCATTTATAGCCACTTAGAGAAATATCTTTAGTCTCTCGCTGCTCATTAGTAGCAATTTAAGAATAGAGACAGACTTCTAAATCTTTTTGCTTTAATACTTTATGAAAAATAAAGTTTATTATTGTCACTAACAAGTTTTATGACTGCTATGAAATGAAGTGCATTTTATGAAACATGCTTTATTCTTGATGGTTTTTGGAATCATTAACTTGAAATGGGTTTGTTTCTGTGGATGTAAGTGCTCACTTTAACAGGGAGCACTGTTTCAGTGCTGTAACTATGTACTAAAAGCTGTGGGTTGGTAATCGAGTCACTAATTTACAAGCATGTCTAAAGAAACCATCGCATACCGCATATGAACAAAGCAAATAGCGATGCCTGAAATGGGGAGTCAAGGCCAGACTGCTCTTTTCTTCATACTAATAGAAAGAGATATGGTAACTGTGGTATTAGAATCTAAGCTTAAATACATGTAATTCAGATTATCTGAGTCTTTATAGAGGAGATGCACTGTAGGCTTGTGTGCAGTGAGTTATGAAATAGATGTGATTTAATGGAAATATACTGGGATATATGTGGCCCAACATGAGGATTTACAGAAGTCCTTTCCAGTTTCAGAACAGTTTCCAGGAGTTTTCTTCACCTTTTGAGTTCACATTGTCTATCTCTGTAACCAGGGAACATGTGGTACATATATAAGGAAAAGATGTATTTATCTGGCCTTTGTAGTGAATCTTCAGTACAGCAGGAAAAACTAATACAGGCTCCAATTCAATATTTTAAACTGGGCAGATGTTAGAATTGAAGATGGCAGAGTAGGAAATTCCAGGCATGTTTAGAGCATAAAAAGTAAGTTGGAGGTAGGGAGAAAGATTGTGAAGGGAGGAAGAAAGAAGCAGAACTAGAATTTTGCAGTGCTGCAGGAAAAGAAATATTAAATGAGACAGAGCTGGAAAGAGGAGGCATGAGTGCAGAAAAAGTCACCATCTCCTTTCCCAACCTGAAAGACCAAGACTAAAGCATAACACTGAAATTATATTACCTTGATCAACAGGTTTTGGGGAAGAGAGACAATTCTGCAGTGAGATTTAAGGCACCCAAACTAATAATCTTCTAAATTTTAAAAGCTGCAACCTCTAAGAAAATAAACTGAATGAAATGAAGGACATGGAAAAGCTCATATAAGATCCTTCTTTAGGACTAGATTTGCATGTCAAAGATGCAGAAGGGGAAGTGGAAAGGCAAAAAATACCTTTTGCAATTTAGGAGTGATGGAAGAGTACAGTGAAAKCAAGGTTACTTCAGACTTCTGTACTGTGACCCAAAATAGGAAATAAATAGATTAAATAGGAAAAAAATAGGTTAAATATTATTTTTATCTGTACATAAGGAGAATTTTAATCCTGTTTTTAGTAGATGTAAATGCTGTTTACCTACAAATAACATGTAACAGTTTTTTTTCCTGAAAAAAAGTATGGAATTGTATCAGTATAATAAGTATGTGATTTTTATTTTGAAAGTTGATTGTTGTTTCCCAAATGAAAATGAAATTGTGCTGATATTTCAACTTCTGAAGTGYACTTTGTGTTATAGACGAACAGCAAGTTACTGTATCTTAAAGCAGTGTWATAAGTAGTTCTTATGGTTTGCAGGTTTTAAACGCGCAGAGAGCTGGGTACAAGGCAGCGATAGTTCACAATGTTGATTCCGATGACCTCATAAGCATGGGATCCAACGACAGTAAGTACAGGTATCACTTCTCCTCTCCTGTTTGAAAATCATTTCACACACTAGAGTATGCCATATTAAATTCATTTGAAAACATTATGACAAGCCCTCAGTATAAAAGCAAATCCTCCTGTGTTTAGTGTTTCAAAATATGTTAGAATATGTAGGTATACTTGTATATTCTTTTTGATGTTACCTTGTCCTTACATGCTCTTGTTCTTTCGTTTTCCTTTGTATTTTAGTTGAACTGTTCTGGGTTAAATGGTTACATTTATGAGATAGATCTCTAAGGCTGTCTTTATTTTACTGACTTAGGTAGATTAACATGACTGAATCTTGTGAGCAGGGAAAAGAGCTGAGGCCTGGGAACTTGTGTTGATGAGGCAGAACCACAGGGGGAAAAAAGGAGTGAAGCTCTACTGTATTGGACAGAATTCAAACATGAAAATGCAACCTATTMATACTTATTGATTTAATAATAAATATTAATTGAGAGAGCTGAGCCTGTTTAACCTAGAGGAGAGAAGGCTCAGAGGGGATCTCGTTAGTGTGTATGAACACTGTAAGGGTGGGTGTTGTGAGGATGCTGTCACGGCCCTGGCCAGCGACAGGGCATGAGGCCGCGGGCACRGGACGTTCCTGCTGCCTTTGGGAGAAAAGCTTTGTGACGCTGAGGGCCCCAGCAGAGCAGCGGGTCGCAGGGAGAGGCGGGGGAGCCGCCTCCTTTGGCGCAGGCAGAAGGCGTCCGCACGTGCTCCTGCACCGGAGCCGTAGGGCAGCCGCTTGTGCAGAGGGATTGAGCTGGGTGAGCTTCGAAGGTCCCTCCAACCTCAACCATCCCATGGCTAGTCGTTTCAGTTTGCTATTGCACTGCTCTGTGTGTTTTTCCTGTTCCTTTGAGTAAGCTTTTCATGTGACTGTATATTATATAAACGTATTTTCAGTTTTTCGCTAGGAAGAAATATACTAGAGAACATTGTGTCAATTTCTGGTTAATTCTGATTTCCCCCTTTCATGGAATGAATATATACATAACATCCTGTAATCCAGCCAAAAGGTTTGGCTTACTTTCTGATGTGTGTATTTTCCCTATGAAATACTTCTAAAACACATACAAAATGTACTGTTGAGAATTTAAGTTCTGATCCTTAAAAATATCATCTTCAAAACAGCACTGTTTGTATAAGTGTTGATCATTTTCAAAGGACTAGCTCTGTGAAGTTGTTCATGTCAATATGGTGCTTTTAGAACTTCTTCTGTGACAGTTTGTTTGTTTTGTCCAATTTCTTGAGCTTACAGTTGAACGGGAACATTAATGAGAACCAAAAAGACATTTGCCAGCATTGAGTGAAATAGCTTTCTGAAAATTAATTTCCTAAGTGGTTGCTGAGTAGCCCAGAAAGCTGTGTACATTGTTTAAATGAATTCCAAACCATATGAAACTTATTTTCAGGTTTCATTATAAACTCAAAATGTAGAATGCAACAAGACAGGGCTTGTATAATACCCTGATAAGGGTATTATAGAGTGACATTAAGCCATTTCTACTTGTGCTTTATAGTAATTAAAAACACATTATTTTTCTGTCTGCCTGTCTTTCTGTCTGCCTGTCTTTCTGTCTGCCTGTCTTTCTGTCTGTCTGTCTCTCTCTCTCTCTCTCTCTCTCTCTCTCTTTGATATTGATTTAACCTTAAGGTTCTTTTAACCTTGGAGTGTAAAAGTAAATCTGAGATGCAAATCAACATGAAGTCGAGGAAAAGATTTTCTGGAATGTGGGGTATAAGCTCAGTCAGCTAAGACATTTTCAGTTCATACATTTCAGATTGCTTCATTGGCTGACTTTTATTTATCTTTCAGTATTTTTTTTAACTTGAATTGCATCTTTTGAGCTTAATCCTCTCAGTAATTAGCAGAGAAGAGGGGTGGCAGTTTCATCCCCTTTCTCACTGGGCTGAAGCAGAGGAGGAGGGTTGTTCATTTTCTCCTTTCTGATTTTTGACTGTTTCCAGAGTGCTCAGTTATGTTTAGGGGTAAAAGGGTGGGGTGGTGGCAGGGGGAGAAGGGCTGATAAAACACAGAACCGTGTCATAAAATCATACGAGTTGTCAGAACCCCTGGAGTCAGGGGAGCTCCGTGACTTTGTCCAATCTCAGAGTAATTTTGATATTCTCCTTAAAATTAATCCAGTTCATTCATCCATAACTCTTTGTCAAAAGATCTTTTATGTCAGTTTTAAGTGTTCCATTACAAATTTTGAGTTTTAGATAGGCAATAAAGTCCCTAGATATTTGGCAGGAAAAACAATAACACTCCTCATGTGACATGAAGACATGGCATGCTCATACATCTGTGTATATATCCTTGTGTTAAAGGATGTCTGTCTTCCTGGTGAGATTATCTCATGTTTTGAGTCTTCTGTCCTTAGCATACCCACCCAGTGTCTGTGTAATGCTATGGAATGCTATGTAATGCTAGCTTTGCTTTTCCTCCGTTCTATACAGTCGAGATTTTAAAGAAGATTGACATTCCTTCTGTCTTCATTGGTGAGACATCTGCGAATTCTCTTAGAGAGGAATTCACTTACGAAAAGGGGTAAGTTACCTCACAAGCAGCCGCCTTGTCCTTTGTGGTAAGACATTGCTGCTTTTTAGTAAAGAGATTTAAAAGAGGATTTTGTAGTGACGGTGGGCTGTAGGTATTGCCAGGAAGTATTGAGCCCTGATTTGCTGCTGGTTTCACCCAATCTGCAATTTTACATTCTTTTCTGTTCTGTTTCCTTAGTATGTGGTTTTAAGTTGCTATAAACAAGTGGGTGCTTTGACAGAGGGGTGATCTATTACAGTGAAACTGAAGCGGTTTAACTGTCAGTAGCTGAACTATCTGGGGCAACTGCATAAAACTTTCTTGTAGATCCCAAGGATGAAATCAGTGCAGTTCTTGTTGTCAATTTGTGTTTGAGGAACAAACTGACTTACTGACTACTGCTTGTTATCACTTGTATCCTGAATACCACACTGGCAAGGTCCTGAGATATTTGAACCTATTGCCACGTTAATGAAGGATGTTATGCCCTACCTGTATTTTTGAAGAAATGCCATGTAAAGCTAAATGTCAGATTTGAAGTACTTACTTAGCACTGCATTCCCTGTTTGCTGCTTTCTGCACGAGTCTTGCAAACTAACAAAGTTGTGCATTTAACTACCTGGGTATGTAAAGTTGTGTTAGGAGCCACTTGGTTTGTGTGTGTGTCTGGGAGAAGCTGGGATTTGCTCTGTGGTTGCTCACACTGTCAGTGCTGTTTGGTTAACTCTTGTTGAAAGGAAATGAACAGCCAGTGTATATGACTCCTGAGGGGCCCTAGGCTGTGTTAAAATGAAACAGCACAAATAGAATTTTTCTGTGGACTGTATAGACTACTGGATGGATTCAGGAGTTTACTCTATGAAAATGAAGCTTGAATTTTGTGCACCTGGAGTTTTACCTCTGTCCCCTTAGTTATTGTCTTTTTTTAAAATGTTTTAGTGTACGTGAACGTGCAAACTTTGTTTTAACTGTAAGCATTCTAGAAAGCCTTTGTTCTTTTATTTATTTGACTTTATGCTATATAGATATAATATGATTTTTTTTACTTGTCACACGTAGGTATTTAGTGTGTGTGTGGCCATAACATTTTATGTTGTTTTTTCATTGCATTGTGTAATCTCACTGCTTTTTAAATTCTAACCTCTTCAGAAGGTGATACTTTTTTTCTCCACAGTGGCCATGTTGTGTTAATCCCAGAGTTCAGTCTTCCTTTGGAGTATTACTTGATCCCTTTCCTGATAATAGTGGGGATTTGTCTTATTCTCATAGTGATATTTATGGTAAGTTCCTTCTTTTTAATGACTTTTTGCTTCCAAACAAATCATCGGTTTGTATAGGCTCTTGGAGTAAAGTGCAGGGATTCAGTAAAGAGACAAGGAGTGCTTTGAGTACTGTGTTCACCTGAAATCCCTTCTTTCTCAGTGCAATAAACAGCTGCATACTTTGTCAAAGGGATGTCAGACACCCCTAGGATATCCCCCTCAGCGTGAAGGACTGTCCTCGCCCCCACCCTTCCATTGCTCAGGCTGTTCCCACATCCCTCCCTAAGGAACAGCCTGTCCCTGCACTCATCCCTGAGAGCAGGTCCCACCTCGTGGACCTTGTCCTGCTTAGTGCACCTTAGTGCTGCTGTTGCCCTGTGCAGGTCTTGTGCCCTGTGCTTGGAAACCACTGCAGCGCGTGGTGGGAATCACCATGGATCCCCCACCTAGAGTGCTCTTGCCTGGGCTTGTGCTCTCCTTAGGCTCTCACTGGGTTCCTTGCCTGTAGCAGGCAAAAGAGCACAACTGCACGTTATTTCCAAACGCTTTGCATACCACTTTCTGGAATCTGCCTGGGCTCTGTCCAAAATATTAGCTTGATAGAAAATGAATGACCCTTTCCATGTTTTAGAATCATATTTTAGGCGGAAAAATGCAGGAAAACGTCCAGGAACTTGGAGAATATTACATTGTGTATCATATAAGTAGGCCCGATGTAGAATACTGTATATATGTATTATATATATTTGGGACTGATACTTGAGGGGTTTGAAAATGTGCTCTATAGTGTTGAAAGTTACAAAACCCATTTACCCACGTCATGTTCAACTATTAAAAAGCCAATGGAAAGTGTTGGAAAGCATTTTCTACATTTCCAGTAGTACATCATTCTCAGAGGTGTACTAATTAACCCTAGATGCAGTGTGAGCAAGATATATATATATATGTATATATGTATAATGCTGAGGGATCAAACAGAATAGCTGTTAAGTTACATTGAAGTGTAAGATGCTTATCTAGAGCCTACTTTGAAAAGTAACTGAATTGTTCTTTTGATTTCTGTTGTGTTTCTCTTCAGAAAGTCTTTATTTTAACAAAGTGGATATGAGGCTCTAGTTGTTGTTAAGTATCTGAATTTCAGCAGAAAACCTGCAGTTCATGCATACAGTTCATTTTAAGCTAGGGTAGAAATGTCCGAATTAACAATTTAGATCCAGCTATGCTTAAAAAGAGAAGCCATGTATGTTTCAGAAGGATAAATTCTATTTTTGTCAAGAACTAATTATCATTCCAGATAGACCTTCAAATAATGTTTGTCCATATCACTGATATGTAGGTTCCCACTTACTCTTCATCACATCATACATTTTTAAATATAGCAATGTCCTTTAGAGATTCCCAAACTCTGAAATATTAATGTTCTTTGTAACATTAATATCTACCCAGTGTTACTTTGTCCTCAGGGAGAGGTTGTGCACCTGCATTTTAGCTGTTTTGTTTTTGCTTTTTCAAAATATTCGGTGTTTAGTATGTTTCAGTTAAGACTGTTTTGTCATGTGTATTTGTTGTCATCATTGAAGAATAATGTCATACTGTAAGTGCTAAAATTTGAAATAGGTTAGAAGTAGCATTAAGAACTATTAGGAAAGTAGAGAAAGAATTTTCAGTAGGTTGATGACAACATGTTACTATAACTTGAAGTAAAGAGCTTTCCCCTCCAAAGCTGGGTACTGTGGAGGCAGTTCTGATGAACAATAATGTTCTGGAAGAGCTCTGCTYAGCTAAGTCCGTTCGTAGCGGAGCTGGTCAAGTTTCATGAACCATATTTTGCCCTGGAGTGTTGCCTCCATTGTACCTGTTTCTGTAGGGCATTGCAGCAATGAGGAATATTTTATATAGTATGGACATTATTTTCTCTCYTTTTCTAGAAAGCTTTGGGGKTTTTTTTGTTTTTGTTTTTTGTTTGTTTTTTTTTTAAGTTCAATGGTCATCAAGAATGTTACTGCTCTAGGTTTGTTTGGCTTCATCCTTGAGTCCAGACAAGGAAACAGATGACTCACTTTGAGCCAGGATTCCTGACTAAACTAAGTGGCTACTCATAAGTAAAAAATTTTATTGTTCTTTTACCATTTTAACGTATTGTTGTCTTATTTATACCTATTTCCAGATCACAAAGTTTGTGCAAGACAGACATAGGGCAAGAAGGAATCGACTTAGGAAAGATCAGCTTAAGAAAATTCCTGTACATAAATTTAAGAAAGGCAAGTGAAATTTTATTTGTCTAAATAATTAGACCCCGTTGTTTCTAACACTAAAAAGTCTGAATGAAGGGGTTTTATACCTTCATAACTAACAAAGTCAGGTGACTTTGAGTGTACTTGACGTGAATATTGGAGTCTGAAGTGGAAGCATGAAAAAATGTTTTAACCCTGCTCTCACTGAAATAAGAAGTGCTATCATTTCTAGTAGAATCCTTAAACTTATCATGGCTGATGAGAATTAAAATATTCTGTAGTGTACTACAGAATCAATACAGAAATTTCAAAAATCTTCCTTGTTCTCTGTTGTCAGTGACACCAGTAGTCAGTCACCATGTGGTGCACTGTACCAGTCATCTATTTGCAAATGGTTAGATGTTTGTGGCATGTAAATTCCCTGACTCTGTAGAGACTATAAAAGTAAAACTATTCTGTGGGTATAACCTACCACTTTTCAATGGAATGGTCCTTCCATTTTATCACAATACTTTTAGGAGGGCAGAGCATCTAAGATCCAATCCCCAAATACTTGCTTTTTAATGTTTTGATATATTTGATTCKTTTTATTGAGTCGTTGTGTGCAAGATAATTAAAATATAAAGCTACAATAAGATACTTTATTCAACAAAAAAAAAAAGCCTCCTTAAGTGTTGTGTATTTCAGTCTGATCCTTAAAAACATGAGATTCTTCTCCAGTCTGTTTATTTTAATGACATTTTACCATCTGATTTTTCATTCAATGAAGTTATGACAAATATGGAAAGAAAAGGTAGAAGAGAATTTCATGAGAATGATTGATCTGGACATAATTCTTGTTAATAGGGAGTCTATTTGTGTAGGCATCTCCTCACTTTGTGGACCTGCCCATGTTTTGGCTTGTTCTGATTGCCTGCCTGCACACAGTGCGTGACTGATTAATTGCTGTAAGATGCTAATCCTTGGGGAAAAAAAATAGATGGCAATTTGAGGAAGGAAGGAAGAGTTTCTCACTTTTATTTAGTACTTGCATGAGCCTGTTACACCCCTAAAAGGGCATTATTCTGCAGTGAGAGATTGTTTTAACTCTGAGGGGAAAAATATCTCATGTTTTTCAGCCACTTTAACAGGAGTGTTAGATCAGGATTCACCTATTAGCCAGCTGAGCTCTTAATGTGGATGTTCAGGGAAGTCCTTGGAAAAGAGATGACTCTCTGGACTTCCTTTTAATTGACCTTAGGTTTTAGTAATTACATTGATATCTTCCTATAAAACTTGAAAAATAGAATTTCAGTTTCTTTAAGCAAGTGACCGCTTTGGTCATTCTTTTAAATTAATCTTTCATATTACTTTCTTCAGCCTCTTTTGCTGGAAGGACAAAGTTTAACTTACTGCTTGTTCTATGTCACTCTGGGTATCACAATCTAAATACATTGATTCTTGCTTGTTTTTGAAAGATAGGACTTCTCAAGACATCAATCCATTTGCTTCAGTTTTCCTGATAATATATCCTTCCTTTCCTTCTGGAAGGATAGCAGAAAGCAACTCCTGAAGACTATCATACTGTTTTAGAGAGGAGCGGACTCTCATTTTGCCTGTAGTGCAGTCTTACTGCTTAAAACATTGGTCTCTTTCTTTATGTTCAGTCGAGTGTCTGAGCTTCAGTTTTTGACTAACTGCAGGTACTGGGTCTATTTCTCCCCCCCCCCCCYTTTTTTTTTAAACACTGCTTTATATCGTGAATCACTTTTGAATAAATGGCTGCATGTGACTTTAAAAGGGTTGTTAAAGGCAAACAGTGGCCTGAGTGCATTTTTAGAATTGAATAGGTTGATAGGCACATGATGGTAAAATAAAGATTACTTTGCAGGAGTGATTGACATAACTGAAACACTGAAAAACAGTGAACACGGGAGAAGAGTTAGGGCATTGCTACTTCCAGAAAACCTCTAGAAATTGGTCTTTTTGCCTAAATAAAATATAAGAGCTTAACTTCAGACAGTAAGCTTTGAAAATGCTTGTATTTCACATGTACATGGAAAACTGGACAGTGCGTGGGGCAGCCAATAGGCTGCAGGAAAATGTACAATTTGAAACAAAGATGTTTGAGGGATTTACAGCTGGACTCTGGAAGGTCCTTTCCGACCATAATGATTCTGTGATCCTATATATTTTTTAGGAATGCAGGGGTTGAATTTTTGTGTGTGTGTGTAGATAGATATGATTGAGATATAATGGGATGTAGGTCTCTAAAATGCCTTTTTAAAATCTGCCACAGAGTAAGTACAGTTCTGCTGTTTACTAGGTATTTCCAAATTGTCTTTTTCCTGCAGATGAGATTATCACTGATCTAATAACTGTTCATTACTGGCCCATCTGCCTGGCTGCACAGTTAACAATGTAGGCTTAATAGAGAAAGCAAATCATAAGATCTGCTGAAGTGTTGGCAGCTTTATTTTTGTGTTTTCCACTGCTCATAAGTACAGAGCTATTGTGATACATGTAGATGGATAATTCTGTATTTCTGAAAATATCTTTGTCTTTATATATGCCAAGCAGTTTAGGAGAGAGTTTTGCTTACTAAAGATTTCCCAAATGCAGTTTATTTAAACAAGATAAATTATTTTTGCAGTTGTTTCCAAAACAACTTGTTTGTATGTGCTTGAAATGGTCTGCTGTAAATCTTTTGATGCAAAACTGATTGTTTTGCACTGCAGGAGATGAGTATGACGTATGTGCCATTTGTCTGGATGAGTATGAGGATGGAGACAAGCTCAGAATCCTTCCATGCTCTCATGGTAAGCAGCTGTATTTTAGCTTTAGCATTTGCATTAAAACAATTATCTAAAAACACTGTCTAAAAATCATAGTGAATATGTTAATTGACTGATTACTAAAATTTATTCTTGCTTGGGGGTGTATACAAATGGGGGAAGAAACCCTTTTCTCGAAGAGAAAAAAAAAGGTATAACTCCTACTTCGCCTTTCCTTTAGATGTCCATCTACAAAAATTTAATTTTATTAAACCTAATTCTTTGATTACTCATGGCATGGAGATGTGGATGGACATAACAGCCTGTCCTGTAGTGTGAAGATAATCTATATAGACTTGTGCCTTGACTGCACTCGAAGTCACTATTGTCAATGCAAAAATGAGTGTAGTGTTTTTGCTGTAACGAGTTGAGCAGTCCTCTAGTGAATGCCCCAGCACAAAATGCATCTCTGGTGGTCACACAGGCATCCGCTGACCAGCAGGACTGCTACAACTGTGTGCAAGTACTAAGAGATTGTATCTAGAAATGCAGGAAGAGGCCTAAGCCCAAGAGCATCTCTAAATTAAAACATTTTTGGACAAAGATACATAAACAATTATCGAGAGAATATATTATTTTTGGCTTGAGGCCCTCTCTTCCCCTCCTGTCCGTTATTCGTGTTACAGCCATGTTGGTTGGATGGCGTTTTAACCAGCTTGTTGCTGTGAATTCCTGCTCTTACTCGCCATGGCAAAAACATGTCCCACAGCACTGAGAGGAGGCAGCTGGGGCCACAGGCCACAAATGCATTGAGCAGAGCAGGTGCAGACTGAGCCCTGCAGAACTTCATTCACAGAAACCATCTTCCCAGAAGGCTCACACAGTGCGGCTCCCTGGAAGGGAAGGCACAGAGCMATCCGTCGCTCCCAGGGAGCACAGGGTTAGCTCAACCTGCACACCAGTGCCAGCGGTTGCTGACGAAATGCAGAACCTCACATGAACTGTTGTGGAGAGCAAGCTCCTTACATGCATAAAAGCATGTATGAAATGTGCCATGTGTACCCATATACCCAAATGTGCTATGTGTACCCCGTACTTAGGTTTGAAAGTGGAAGCTGTGGTTAGGCCAAGCTCCCTGCAGCTAGAGGTCTCACTTAACATGTAGTGCTAAGTTTTTAATATCATAAATACGACCCTCAAGCAAAGTTTTGCTGAATTTGAACAAGGCCAGTACAGTTGTTGTGCTGATTGTTAACCTAAATTAAAATATGTAAAGTTATATGTTTATTTAATAACAGGGTGTTTTGATACAGCCTCCTTGGATGAAAAAAGGATGGGTGAGGTAGAGGCATTATGAGAATGATGTTAGGTAGCCCCGATTCACTGAATAGTCATTTATTGTATTATTTGTAATAGTGCTTATCATTGATAAGGATCTTGGACCTGGTTAGGTGCTTCATATGGAAGGATAGACATTGCCTTTGTGCCAACAAACTTGCCACTAATATTCTTTGTGTGAGAATTTTGTAATCATTATTTTAACATAAATACAATTTAGTGGATTTATTTATCCATTGTATTTTGGTAACGATGCACTTGTATTTTGTTTCTAACAGCGTATCACTGCAAATGTGTGGACCCATGGCTGACAAAAACCAAAAAAACGTGTCCTGTTTGTAAGCAGAAAGTGGTCCCTTCCCAGGGGGACTCCGATTCCGAGACAGACAGTAGTCAAGAAGAGAACGAAGTGTCTGAAAATACCCCCTTGCTTAGGCCACTCGCCTCAGTCAGTACTCAGTCATTTGGGGCTCTGTCAGAATCTCATTCCCATCAAAACATGACCGAGTCCTCGGAGTACGAGGAGGATGACAATGACAATATTGATAGTAGTGATGCAGAAAATGGAGTAAATGAAGAAAGTGTAGTGGTTCAACTGCAGCCCAATGATGAAAGGGAGTACAGAGTGGCAAATACTGTTTGAGACTACTGATGATGAAAAATGTTTGAACAAAAGAGTTCTTACGGCTATGTTTTACAAACACTTACATAGGGAATATATTTTACTTTATAATCCGTTTGGTTACTTCAGTAGGAGCAGTGGTTCATGTAATAGTACTACGGTTTAATCATACTACAGATAGATTTCTTTTTGATTCTGATATTCAGTTACACATTCTGTTGTCCTGAAGAGTTTAACTGGATTTCACAATGCTAATGAATAATGTTAATAGTTTACATCAACACAAGTGTCACACAGACTCTACTTTAAATGTCAGTATCTTGTTGAAATGGGATTTAGCTGGAAATAGGTTCTCCCCCACCTCCCCAATTACATTTTGTAGGTACAGCTGGATCGTACTGATAGCAATATTTAGTATGTGTATGGTGTTACTCCTTAAGCCCAACTCAAAATGTATGATGCATGTTTGTATAGGGTTTTCCTAAAAACTGCCACCACTTCTGAAAGAAAAATGTAGAACAGATCTGTGTTCCATATTCTGATGTTCTGATGTATTAAAACAAAGCAGAACACTTTTATCTCAAATAATCCTTTGGCAATTGCAACAGCAGCTGAGTTTAAGCAGTTCTTTTTGAGCAGTTCCTATGATAAGGAAATTTGTAATCTGTGTTTAGTTTTAAGTGATTCACAAAGTAAGATCTCTCATTAACACATTAATTGACTCTATTTGCTACTTCCATGTAATTTATTTTCCTGTGATCATGTAGGAAATGTGGGGTGACCAAAACAAAAACACAAGCAAAATTCCTCTTAGAGGTGAGAAAAAAAAAAGGGGGGGGGGGAGGGGGGAAGAAGAATTTTAGGTAAGTRTTCGATTGGTCCTCAAGTCATATACCTCTTAAAGAGCATTTTATGCTGCAATAGTCCGCTAAACTATGTATATAAAAAGTTCTTTTCAGAAATATCTGATTTGAAAACAAGTGCTTACAACTATTTAACAGAACTCAATGCTTAACAGTGTATCATGAAAAGAGTAAATTATATAGAATACTTCTGTAACTATGTAGAAAGTAACAACACACATGTATAATCAAAATGCAGAGTTTTTTATATGGCCTTGAATAAGGAAAGCTTGAAAGAATGTTAATAAACATGTTTTCCACTTTAAGTATCAAAAGGAATTTATTTAACTTTGCGTTACTTAACACTAATAAATGTAGAAGAGGATACAATGAATGTAAATTTAAAAATGTTTAAAGATTGAGAACACCTAACTGTTGAGATCCCTAAGTAGCATTAATTCTCTTACGTTACACTATGTATCACAGCACAAAGTACTACACTGATCAACAGTATATGCAGTGGAACTGAGTTACTTAACCAAAACTGAATTTTTGTTTGTGTAATTAATTTGTGAGTTCAGAGCAGGAGCTTCATTCACTCTAGGTTTTTGTCTGTGCTTTAATGGGAGAAAGGCAGAGAAGACCAGAGTCCTACTAGCATTTGCTGCCCACCATGCCAAGACCTTTGCAGCTGCAGAGTGAGCTTTGAAGTCAGAAATCACCAAATCCTGGGCTGAGCACATTACAGGTGAGGCATTTTCAGTTGTTATTTCTGAGCTAATGCAAAGTGCATCTCCTAGCTTTACAACCTGGGAAGGGAATTCATCTCCTGAACTGGCTAAGAAAAATTAGACCTTTCAGAAATAGTCATGGCAAAAGGGTAAGAACTGAAGAATGATTTGTCTGCAAACCACTGCCACCAACAATCCATGTCCAAACGGGATTGTATTTTCCCYACATAAAATTCCGTTACACAGTTGTAAATGAGTATTACTTCCACCCAATCTTGGACGTAATTGTATATATGCAAGTAGGAAAACTGATTTCTCGCAAAATGACCAAGCTGAAGGTTTTCTGTTTGCGAACAGCTCAGCCTGGCAGGGTCCTGCCGCTCCCTCTCACTGCGTGCATGTGAGTGCTCATTCCTGCAGGGGCTGATGCTCCCCAGCTTTGGGTGCCGGAGCTGGAGTCGCCTTTGCGGCCTGTCCTGCGTGCCCCTCGCTGCAGTGTCTGTTGCCAGGACAGAAAGTAAAAGSAAACTCATAGTTTCTGTCCTGCTCCCCATCATCTACAGGAAGAGCGTGCAGCAAGCGACCCTCTGTTTCCACAGAAAACCTAGTGTGTGTTTTTGTAATTGTCCCATTTTATACATTTCCTAATGGTGTGAACATACATTTATTTCAGCAAGCCTTGGTAATAATCACTGTAGTGATACCTCCTTAATTTAATTACTTGTCTGTTGCCATTGCTATGAGGAAGAAAATGAAAATAAAAGAATAACATTTTATATTACAAATACTTYAGAAGATTCAGAATCTTTGTATTTCTWCTGAACTTATGCATCTCATTAAGACTTGATGGATAAGTCTGTCTCTAAAGGCATGGCCTGTCCAAACCTACAGGAACAGATAAAGAGGGATTTCTTGTTGGACTGTGACTTGCTTACATTAGTCACATGAAGCAGAACCACATCTGCACTGCCATGAGCCCCTCTGTCAGTTTGGTACAGACCCTCAACTGTCTGCAAGAATTGCACCCTGGTGCTTTCCAGAGGGCCATGGTTGATTAGTTGATCTTTTTCTTCTAATAGCTATCCATAACTAATGTCTAAAATTAAAGCATTCTGTGTGGAAGTCTGACTAATACTAATAGCACGTTACAAACAAACTTTTGCCCTACCCTTTCACTGCCTAATGAGATAAACACTTAGAAGATGCTGAGCAAAATTATTGGCAATAGGCAGGAGGACTTCCTGGAGGAAGAGCAGGGCCGGGGGGGGGGGAACAGGGCCTAACAGAGCAGATACTCATGTAAGCCTGTGGCTTTGTCTAAGAGAAGGGATGAAGAGCACTTGGTGTTAATGACAGCGAATGCCACCTATGGCCTGAAAAAAAGAAAAACTTCCCCAAAGCTAAACCAAATCCTACCGTCACAAAAGTCCCCCTAGTTTTCAAATGTGGTTAGGTGAKATTTAGATCCAGAGCGAAAGTGATTCACGTGCCAGGATCATCTATGTTAGGAGGGAAGACTAGGCGAGCTGGGCCTGTTTAGCCTAGAGAAGAGATGACGGGGAGGGGATCTGAGCTGTAAGTACCTGAGAGGTGAATGCAGGGAGGAGGGGGCCAAAGTTCTCAKTGGTGGCCAGTGACAGGACAAGGGGCAATGGGTGCAAGTTGAAGCCCAGGCAGCTCCACAGGCCTGTGAGGAAGAACTTGTTTGGTGTGAGGGTGCCCGAGCCCTGGCCCAGGCTCCCCAGGGAGGCTGGGGAGGCTCCTGCTCTGGAGCTCTCCTAACCCGCCTGGATCTCCCACCTGCCCCGTGCTCTGGGTGTCCCTGCTGGAGCAGGGGCTGCACTGGGGGAATCTCTCGAGGGAGATTCTGGGATTTYATGGGGAAAGGAAGAGGTGTGTGTCTTCTGTACCAAACACTATTAAAAGTAAACTCAAGGGCTGTGGGCTTGTTCTAGCATATTTTAATTTCAGCACTAAAATAAAAAATCAAAAGATGCAGTTCAGATAGCAGGTAACTGAACTCACATACTTAGCACTACCTTTAAAGGCTTTAGCTGGACATGTACTGTACTGAGAATCAAAGGAGAGGTTGCACTACTTGAAGATAAACATCTATGGGGGAAAACAGTCATTTTAGCAATCATGTTCAAGCAGCACGAGCCTAACAGCAGGACTGAGAAGAGAAAGGTAGCTTTAGATGAGCATTCACCACTGTGCTCTGGGCTGTTGTTTGACCCATCCCCACAGCTCCTCTCGCTTCCTATCCCCGCTCACCTGTGCTGTTAAATGGCACTTTGTACCCTTGCCCAAGCTCACCCTTGCAGCATGCAGGGCAGGAAGGTACCCAAAATCCCTGTACAGTCCCTGGGAGCTGCTGTCCTTCCCCGCCCTGATCTGAGTGTAGTTAGTAGGACAGAGTCTCCTCCTAGCTCCTGTGCAAGTTAACATGTTCATAGAGCAGGGGCCATCCCACCAGCTCTAGGGGAGGCCCCTCGGAGCCTGATAAATACAGAGCTGGTCTCCTAATTCACCACCATCTACTCCAGAGCCTGGCCAAGCTTTTTACAGACTTGGCCTTCTCTCCTTTACCTAAACGTGTATTCCCATACTCATACTACCTGACAAAACTTACAACTGCACTTAGAGCTAGTACTACCAAGTCTGCCGTGCAGTGAAGGGTCTCACTGGATGCCTGTGGAAAAAAGAAAAATTACCAATAGTCTGATTTTGTTTGGTTGGAATAAATTTATTTCATCTGTCTGTAAACAAGGTGTTTTTAATAGTTATGGCATTTTTTGAAATGCATATTAAATCAGATGAGTTAGACTGTATCCCAGATGTAACAAAGTGCAGGGAAAGAAATGGACAAATCAGCAACAAGAATTTGTTTAAATCTGTACATTATCCACAAGGCCCAACAACAGAAGCAAATACTATAATGTCCCTAAAGTAGTGCCATTCGAAAGAAACCCTTGTAGTCAGTTAAAATCCATCTCACAATAGCAACAGTTCTTTTTTTTTTTTTTTAAACAATAGTATGGCACAGAATACATATTAAAAAATTCATCACAAGACAGCCAAGTCAGTTATTCCAACCAACACCATCTCCCATTTATTCTTTTGTATACAGAATTCTGCAGTTCTCTTCAAATGGACATACAAGTTAGTACCGTGCCTGAATTCAGTTTGGTTACACACATTTCAGATGACTAGTGCACAAGGCAGTTCACATCATGATTTCTGCAGCAAGGGTGTGACAGGCCAAATGAAGATTCTCAATTTGAAATGGCATCATCTTGACAGTTTAGGTTACAAACCACCCACCTTCATCCAAATAGTGGCTTCAGAGCAGCAAGGCTCTTCACCAACAAGTGTTCTGGCAGAAAGACTAGGGTCAGTCAGTGCTCCCTGAACAGCTGAAGGTGGCAGTTTTCCAGAAGGACATTGCAGTTTCATATTGGAAAAAAAAGAGGAAAAAAAAAAAAAAGACCCAAGCTGCAAATTAAAATTGGTCCTATGAAAAACTGAAACCTGACACACTCCAGATGGTTATGTTGGGATATTCTAATGTCCATAATGGCAGCCTTTTACAATTCAACTACAGAACAGGAGCTGGCAGGAAAAAAAAACCCTAAGTGCCTGAGCTACTGTGACGATGAATGGAGGTCCCTGGCGAGCCGTGGGGATGGCGGCTGGGCGCGCAGGAAGCGCATCCCGCCCCGCGCAGTTTTGTGATTGCACTTACGAAGCACTACACGCACAGACACCGTGAAGGAAAGGAGACTTAAGCCTACAGTGAAGTGCAACAACAAAACTAATGTAACGTTAATAGCTTTTCAGTGGCAAATTGGTTAAACAAACCAGGCACTATAAAAATAGGTTAAGCAAACAAAATATGAATCAAAAGAGGAGAGGGAGCAAAGTAAAGATATGCATGCACTTCTTTTCCTCCCGACCATGCTCTATGAAAGGAAGACTAAGTGAGCTGTGTAATTGCTCAAAGTGCTGAAGAGGCATTGATCAAATTAGATTGTACAATCGGCACCTTGTTTAGTGTCTAAGTTGTTTTAGTTGTCAGTATCACACTAACTGCTAAGACAAAGCAAAGCATATCCCCCTCCCAGGAGTTTTTCAAGGTTCATGCATATCATCTTCGTGGTGCAGTAATGGTGCCAGATGTGGGATGTGGTTACATACAGTGGTTAACATACAAATGAACAAAGGGGATGGGAATTATGACATTAGAAAATGGGTAAATAAAAAACACAAACTACCATCTACGGTCTGGTAGCACTGAACACAACTGGGTGGTGGTGAAGACAGTTGCTAGGTGGATGGGGAGAGGCTGCTTAGACGTCAGACCTCCTCAGGTATAAAGCCAGTTCATACGCTTTCTTGTTGAGTGTCCCGCCATGGACACCTTCCTTTCCCATGACTATAACCAATGCTGGAGTACACAAGGAAACAAAACAGAAATGAACAGGATTAAAGAAAAAAATAACACCTTTCCCCACCAACAAAGGGATACAAAGGAGACACAGGTTCATACCCCATCACCCTGCATTGCTAATAAAGTTTCCAGAATGTAAGGTTTAAAGCTCACCGCCAGGAAAGTTTAATAGCAATCTTCCCCTAATACTTAACAGTCTGCCTAGCAACTAGAACCCAGAGTCTCTCAAGTATTTTGCCATTGAGTATGCCTTCTTATTCAATCCGCCTCCATGGACCCCTTCTTTGCCCATTACAAAGACCAAGACTGAAAGAGAAAAGAAAAAAAAAGTTTTAAAAAGAGTGTGTTAGACAAGGAAATAATGCAAGTTTTAGACAGTGCAATAAACACACTCAAATCCAAGTTTTAGTGTTTGGGTATTAAACTAGTTTAACGGGAGTTTTTTAAAAATACAGACGTAGACAGGGTTGGGAGAAGGCATGATTAATTCTCCAGGATATTACATAACTGCATAAGGCATAAGAGTCCACTGCTATAAATGAAGTCATCCTGAAGAGCTACCAACTATCTTAAGATAGTTGGTAATTAACATCATGATGCTTATCCACCATCATCCAGCCAGAAAATCCTGGCTGCATCTTGAATATATGCAAAAAAAAATGTTAACAAGAACAAAACTGGTAGTACGCATGAAAGAGACATGATTCTGAAAAGCAGATGAGGGAATGCCTGTATCTATAGAGGTCACAGCTGGGATAAGGACCAGGCTTGRTAGTATTAAAAAAAATACTGGGTCAGACTTAAGCTGGCACCTGTGCAACAATACAGCCATACAATATACTTAACTTTTTGCGTAAGATAAAGTTCAGAGAAGATTTTAATGCTGACCCTCTAGTCCCCCTTTTTTTGGGAAGGAAGTGTCAGATTGTTGTGCAAACCAGAAGGTGCCAGGGATGCTCATCCAGCACGACACCATCTGCAGGCTGCCACCAGATGTCACCAGCAAGCACGCGGACACCTTAGGGACTGCGCTTTCCCGAGCACAATAGTTTTGTTCTAAGTTGGAATACTGTAACTGGAAATACTGCAGTCAGCCTTCCTAAAGGGGACTGCCCATCTCCACTGGGGTTTGCTCACACGAAGCCCAAGGGAGCAGCTCCCACGAGGGCTTCAGGACGTGCAGAGAAGGTTCAGAACTGCTCGCAGAGGGGCCACGGACCCTCCTTGTGCRTTGCTGGCGCACGGCTCTAGCCGACAGACAAGTTTTGTGCCAGCTTTTTGTACACTGCAAGCAAAAGTCCATTGCTCACAACTTACTGCACAGCCCTCCAAAAAATCCTAGGTTTGAACACAAACCATACTAACCGTACCCAGTGTTTTGAGGCAAGATTTTTGTATTTGATTCCAGTGCACTCCCATGTTTTACATGAAATTAAATGAGCACAAGGAGCAGTTAAACTAGCAAAAATCAGGCATCTCAATGATTCCAAATTGGAGTAGCTTTTTTGCCTGAAGAGACAGACTTCACGGCCAGTGCAAGAAGAGTTAGTGTGGAACTTGTTAAGAGGCACATAGAAGTAGCTCACACAAGAAATTCACATCTCTGCAGAATAAATTTTCTGCCGAGTTGACAATGGAAAAGCTGATTTCGGTAAAAATCATTGATACAACACTATGATCCTGTAGTGTAAGGTGACTCGGAGCCACAGCCTCCCGCTGCCGCTCAGGGCCACGATGGGCCACCTCACAGCCTGGTGCCCGGCCGTGATCACACGGGGCACCCAGGACAAGGGGACCCCAGGCAGAGCCACGGGTGACGGGCCAGGCGGCAGCGTCCACCCGCACCAGGTCACATCCTGAAACTAACGGTTAAACACAACCCTGTGGGCTCCCTCGCGGTTTGGGCCTGGGATGAGGGCCACACTCCTAGCTGGGTGAGGGGGAGCGGAGGGAAGCGGTGCTCACCTCGGCCAGCTCTACCTACAGCCACGTTGTACGTCGGCTCGCCACCTTGGCTCTTTGTCCTGATGTCCATCGTGCAGTCACCATCAACGTACAGGCTATCTCTGATCACGGAGCACTTCTTGGCACCAAGGGTCAGCCCATTGGTGAAGAACCCCTCTCGGTCTTTTCCTACAATCATATCTATTTCTCCTGGCTGTCAAAGAGAAAGGTCTGGCGTTAGCRCCGCGATGCTTTGTGCCGTAAGCCCTGTTCAGAAGGCGCCTCCGCCTCTGCGCGGGGATTAGCGGGCGCTCGTCTCCGGCTCCATGAGGGAGCGCTCCGCAGCACGGGGCTCCTCATCAGCGACCACGAGCGGCACTTTGTGCGGCCGCCGGGCAGCCCCGGGCCGCAGCGCCCAGGCCGGGCCGGCCCGCGCCC